TGACCTCGAAATTCCCTTCCAGTGAGGAAGTTGTGTGTTGGGGGCCCTCCCTGCCTTAGAGACGTCCCAGCCCGGTGGGTTCAGTGCTCTGGGGAAGGAGGGAGGTGGGAGGCCGGCTGAAGGCCAGGTCCTATGTCCGGTCTGAGACAATGAATCCACCTGGCTCTCCCTCCCCACTTTGGTTCACTACAGAAAAGGAGCAGATGGGCCGCCTGGCGACTGACCCACGGAAGGGCTGGGCTGGGCTGGGCTGGGCCTGTGGCATTGGCTTCCCCTCCCTCCTCACCCTCCCCATCCCACCCTTACCGCCGGGAGGACAACAAAAGAGCTCTGGGACGCCCCTCCCTCCACAAAGGCCCCAGGCCCAGACAAAGGGGCTGGGGCAGAAAACACCTGTCACAAGCTCTGGCTCACTGTGCTCTCCCCGGGCAGCCCCCCTCGCTTCCCCCGCCACACGGTTGCAGGGCCTGCAGCTGCCAACTGTCAGCTGCATCAAATTACTGGCCTTCGGCTCCCCTGGGGCAGCAAAGTGCCCAGCAAGGGAGCGGGGGAAGCTTGGGCAGGACCAGTGATGCCTCCTGCCCGGGCCTCTGCCAAGCAGCCTCAGCCCAGAGTCCTAAGCATCTTCTCCCAGTCCGGTGTGGACATTCCATCAATCTAGCTCACCATCTCCAGTTCAATGCACCCTCTGAATACCATGCAGCCCCTCACTCCCAAACATCTCAGTCCAGAACACCCTCTCTCCATCCAGAGCTGCCTCCTTCAGTCACTCCAAAGCAAAGCATTCTCTCCTAGGCCCAGGGATGTTCGCAGGAATGCAGGCCGGCAGAAATGGAGCTGGGTACCTCTGCTAGAGAAAGGAAGACAACCAGGACATATCCTTTCACCCCTTGTAGGAGCAGACCAGCCCCTGCCCACTGGACATGGACAGAGTCTTTCATAAATGCTAGTTAAATGGAATTGAGTCCAAACATAGGCATGAGGTAGCAGAAAGCACCGGCCTTGAAGCCAAAGGATCCAAATTCAGAGCTTGTCTCTGCTACTTACTAGCTGTGTGACTTTGGACTTTGGTTACCTTATTTGGGGGACAGGAGGTCAGATAAGTATAGAGTGAGCTAAGAGCACTGGGGAAAAGAGGTCTTTATTCAGCAAGAATAGCTGAGGAGATGGAGCAGCAGTCTGACATGAAAAGGGTTTAGATGAGCGTGTTACACCACACACTACAATAAACTCCAAATGGATAAATGAGCAAAGCAGAAGAAACTACACCACTAGAAAATGAAAAGAGAGTCTTTACACGAGCGGATGGGGGATGAATTTGTCACCAGCCACAGCATGGAAATATTACAAAAGACAAAATGGGCTAATTTGATAATGTAAAAAGAAAGAATTTTACACAAATAAAACCAATGTAACCAGATTCTCTTAATAGAGAAGAAGTGAAAAGATATAAACAGGCCACTGGCACTGGAGTCAGAGGACCCTGATTCAAATCCCACCTCTGAAGTTTACAATCTGCGGGACCTTGGGTGAGTCACTTAACTAACCTAGGCCTCAGTTTCCCCTTCTATAAAGCGAGGGGGTTCAACTAAATGGCTTCTGAGGTCCCTTTCAGTTATAAATTTATGATCCCTTGACCTCATAACCACCTGCAAAAATGCTCAGAATTGTTAATAATCAGAGAAATGCAAATTCAAACCACTCTGATGTATCACTTTACACTTAACAAAAAAGAAAATATGGGAAAAGACCCTCCAAAAATTCAATAAGAAGACAAGCATATTAATTCACTGGTAGTGGAACTGTGTAACTCCAGAGGTAAAAACTAGAAGCAAAAGGCTGAAGTTTCAATGAGGCAAATTTAGGCTTGATATCAGAAGGAAGTTCCTAACAATTCTATCCACCCAAACATGGAACAGACAAAGCTGGGGGTGCCCACTCCTTGGAGGTCTTCAAGCAAAGGCTGGATGACCATTTGTGGATGCAGAGGATTCCTGTTCAGGGAGAGATTGAACAAGATGATGCCATCCAACTCTCACCTTCTGTGACCTCAAAGGGCCCTTCCAGCTCTGACCTTCTATGATTTTTCAGGGTGGATTTGATTTAGTATGAGCTTTGGGGGTTGAGCCCATGCTCAGTCAAAGGAAGAAAGGATCTCATATAGCTGGAGTGGCTTAATCTTCCTATATAGGGAGGACAATGACTTCATCAATAGCAGGGAAGTAGGAAAAATGTTGCCCACCTCATCCTTTTTTGTCTAAGTTATCACTCCTGGGATGATTTACTTGGAACACAATTGGCATCATGTAGATTGAAAATGTTTGAAAGGGATTTTCTTAGCCTAATTTAAGGAGTAGACTGAATTCAAGCAGCCAATGTAAGAAACAGTTAAAAAGATGGGCAATGCCTAGGTGCACCTGGCTGTCTGACAGGGTCTGAATCACAAAAGTGCCAAGATAGCTGCTCTGGCTATGGTCTAAAAGAGTCAATATACGCCTCCCCAGTGGAAGCTGATATGGGCTAAAAAAGTTGATATATCCTTCCCCCACAGGGAAGAGATTGCATTGCAGCTATTATCCAGCAGAACCACAAGATGCAGTAGAGAGCAATCCAGTTTAACTATCAATAGATAACAATGCAGTGATGAACCAGAAGATGGCAGAATAGCCCAATCATGAATATGCTCGCCACCCACAGTTCAGATATGGGATCATGGATTTATCCCTGAAAGGGATTTTTGAGGTCAAATATTCCAAACTCTTCACTTTGCAGAAGCCAAGTGACTTCTCCAAAGTTACTCAGGTTGATAAATAGCAGGTGCGGGATTTGAATCCAATTGAGATCCAGAGTTGTTGGGGTTTGTTTGTTTCTCTTCCTCTTATCACCACAGTAGTCTGGTGACTACTTGAGGAGAACAGCAAATCTCAACACAGGGGGCTGCACCTCCACCCTCCAAAACCAGACCTAGAACCTGGAGAAGAGAAGCCACTTGACTGTACTCTGGGACTCCCTCTGCATCTCTTTTGTAACCAACTCAACACTCTTTTCTAGGGCTTGACTGCTCTCCTGTTCTACTCACCATCCCTGAGATGTCTGAGACCATAATTCACTTCCCTAGCCACCTCCCCTCTCCATGTACTGTACCTCCCCATTAGAATGTAAGCTTCTAGAAGGCATCTAGTTATTGTAACTGGATCCCCAGTGCTTAGCATGTAATAATAAGCACTTCACGAATGCTTTTCATTCATGCATGCATCCATCCAGAAAAGTGCTCCAGTTGAGATGGAGCCCTAGGAACTTGATTTGTCTTGGTTTTATGTCCCCTAGGCATGTATGCTTTCTCACAAGTTCTCTGCTATATGTGTTCCCTCACCCACCAATACTATGAGAGGATCTATGGATGAGAGTTCATTTTCCTTGTCCTTTCTTTGCTAGACTGTTAAGTAAATGTCTTTTGCTTTAAACTTGGGTGTCTTTTATTAGATCTAGGGAGAGAAACATTATGTGATTTTAAATGAAAGCTGACCCAAAGAGTGCCTTAAACCTACGGTAGCTTTGGGGGGCCCCAGATTATAGAGACAAAATAGTTTTCCCTCTTCAGTACTGGCTACTGGAGGAAATGGAAGCCTGCCTACCACTCACACAGAGTAGGCAAAGAAGTCCTTTAAAACTCAGCCTGTTAGATGGCACCAGCCCCTCTCTCTTCAGCATTCAAGCTGGAATCCATCACTCCTGCTTAGAACCCCAAGGCAGGAGGGAAGCATTTGGGGCCTCGTCTGCCTGAAGGAGGTAATGGGGTCAGTTACAAATCTAGGGAGACTCAGCAACCACTCGAGGTCCCGACTCTACGTCTATGGACTGGCTGATGGGGCACATAGGTAGAAAGGAAACCATCTTTGCGCTCAAGGGGCTTCGAATCCCAGCTGGGCAACTTGTACCTCAGTGACCTTGGAGAAGTCATCTCAGCTGGACCTGGGAAATGAGGAAGTTGGACTCAGTAGCTTCTGGGGTCCCTCCCACCTCTAGGGCGACCGTTCTACCCGGGAATGAGGAAGAGGAAGGGACTTGGGCAAAGTGAGCAGGATCATCGGGGCGGGCAGGGATCCCAGAGGGTGGGGAGCCCAGGCCAGCAGCACCTTACACATAGATGAGGAACAGAGCGCTCTCCCTAAATGGGAAGCGACTAGTCCAAAGTCACCCCAATAGTTACGTAGTCACAGAAACCTGAACCCAGGGCCCCCGACTCCGGAGACAGAGCTCCCCCAGTTGTCCCTAAGACTGCCTCAGCAGGAGGGCGCAGAGCAGGGCGAGGACCAGCCCCGGTCCCCCAGCGCCCGCCCCGGCCTGCCGCTCCCCGGCCACAGCTGCAGGACAGAACAAAGGCTTTGGTGGCCATTGGTACTCCAGACTTCCCCAGGTTCCCTCAGCCCATTGAGATGCAATAAGAGTATATAAATACCGGAGGGGGGGGGGGGCAACAGGGCCCAGGAGTTGTTTTGGGGGGGGCGGGAGTCCCAGTAGTTGGAGGGGCTCATTCTAGTTCTCCCTCCCTCTCTCCCTCTTTCCAAGTCACAGCTCCCCGCCCCGCCCCCCTTCTCCTCTCTCTTACCCATCCCTCCTTCCTCTTTCCCCCTCTGCCTTCTGGCTCCTCCTTCAATTCCCTCCCTCCCACCTCCCCTTCCTTTCTCCCCTTCCTCTCCACCTTTCGCTCCTCCCCCTTTTCCTTCTCCCTCCTCCTCCTCGCTTACCCCCTCCCCTTTCTTCTCCTGCCTCCTCTCCCTTCCTGCCTCTCCCCTCCGCTCCTCCTTGCCCCCTCCCCCTCTTCCTTTCCTCCTCTCGCTCCTCCCTTCCCCCTGCCCCCCCGGAGTCTCCCTTCGGGCCCCCCCGGAGTCTCCCTTCGGG